TCCATTCTCTTGCTGCTTTTCCTTCAATTGGTCATGTGATCAAAATGTGGATGCTTGGCAACTGGCCTGTATTTATGACGGTTGCAGTGTCCCAGGGTCATGTGATTATTTTTAGCAATCTTTTGACAAACAAAATCAATGGGAAAGCCAGATTCATTTAACAACTGTGTTCCTAACTTAATAACTGCAGTGATTCACTTAACAACTGCAGCAAGAAAGGTCGTAAAATGGGTGCAACTCACTTAACAACTGCCTTGCTTAGCAACAGAAATGGGCTCAGTCGTGGTCGTAAGTTGAGGACTACTAATTTTATGGTTGGGGGTCACCACAACATGAGGAACTGTATTAAAGGGTCACAGCATTAGGAAGGTTGAGAACCACTGCCCTAAATGAACTGAAGCAGGGTTGACCTACTCAGCGTTATTGAATGGGCAGAAGCTACAGGGAATTTGACAGTTTAGGTTTTTTTACCACAAGTAAGTCAGGAAATTGGACTTCTAAGGTTAATCAACTTGTTTTACATTTTGAAATAAATGTAGATCAAAAGACAGGCTGTAATATCTCTGTGATGCTTAAGCTGTTCATGTAAGCTTTCTGAGTAGAAGCACTATTGCAAGGTTCTTTGGTTCATTTTCCACTATTCTGCAGACGTGCTCTATGCCTGTGGTTGCGTTGTCCTTTTTGAATATTAGTTAACAATTCACAAAATTTAACAACCGCAACATGCTGTACATGAGGCTGACCCTGAAGAGCATTTGGAGACAATCAACTGGTGCAGAATATGGCTGCATGGGTAGTAAATGGTGCCAGATATGCAGCACCTATAGCATCACTTCTGTGCGAGCTGCATTGGTTACTGGTGTGTGTTTCCAGGTGCAGTTCAAGGTGCTGATTATCGCCTTTAAAGCCCTACATGGCTTGGGAATGGGTTACCTGAGGGAATCACCTTTTCCCAACAGTCTCTACCCATCCAACTCAATCTAGCAGAATGAACATATATTTTTTTGAATTGTAAGTCATTGACTGAGATATGGGGCTATAAAAATTGAATAAATAAATAAATAAATATGTTCATGCTAGATGATGTTTCTTGCAAATGTAAAAGTCGTAAGATCTTTGCAAGAGAACAAAATAACATCTTGTTCTACACTTGAACTTAACAAAACCCTGATTTCCGTTCATATTTTTTTTTTTTCATTTTCATTATTTTATTCTATATTGTACAAAAAGAAAAAGAAAAAGAAAGTTTACCCAAAGAAAGAGTACAGTCTTCAATCATTTCAGGTAAAGCATCCTAGGAAGGGCAGGAACTTTTGCACCACACTTTTATCCCTCTGTCTAAATTATTTATAAGTATTTTGGTCATTTCTTTACCTGTTGGTTCTGATAGACTTCCTTTCCTTTCAAACATTCTTCTTTATTGATGAATGCTCCATCGCGAGACTGCAGCTCCCGTTTACAACAAGCTTCAGGAAGAGCAGGATGGGAATCCGGAAGAATGGAATGAGAGGTTGCCTCAAAATCTTCTGGGCCATTGACACCACAGCAGCCAAACTAGCACGTGTGAAAGGTGATCAAAGGGTTAATGTGTTTGTGGCAGAATTAGGTTGGTTTCTAGGAAATCTGAAGACATGCAATAAGAACCCAAATAGGGTTTCTGAATGTATAAACTGAGGATATCATTTGATACTTGATGTAAATTTCTACTCCTTCCTAAACATTACAATTTTCTTTTTTTTAAAAAATAAAACAAAACAAATATGTTTCTAGTCATCATGGATGTGACCTCGGCTTCAACATTTGTTGAAATCCTCAGTTATAAATAAGCAAATCAAGAGAGTGTGAAAAGCCTGGGACTTTGGATTAGCTTCCTATAGAACTGCCGGCTATTTTCTGTGTTTATGAAACAAAAAACTATTGTGCAAAATAAGCAAGTGTTCAGTTTCTTTAATGCTATAATATCAAAAATTATATTTTCAATATCACAATCTCTTTTGCACTAGTTGTAATATGGTTTGTTTATTTTTGTCATTATGTGAACCCATCCATGATGGCTTTGTATTAAGAATGAACCAAGTTTCTGTGCTTGTTCGAGAAAATGTAATATAAAAATTCCGACGTAGCATTACATATGGACTTGCATATGTTAAGACCCAGCAATTTCCCAGAGGAGTGACACAATTAAAGCAACAGCAATAACAACCTTCATTAGAACTTAATGAGAACATTTTCAAATTGCTGCCTTTGATCCTCTGGTAGTGCCAAATGAGATCATTTCCATAAAATAAGGCATGAGTTCCTTAATAGTGATATCTGACTGAAAATTAACTAAATCAGCAGCATATAGAACAACTTAAATATCAGAATTTAAGCAGCCCGGCACAATTACCGTAATTTATTTTTTTATATTTTTATTTATTTATTTTATAAATAAATCGACCAGTACGCTCCCACAGGGTGGGTCTCCTCAGGGTGCCGTCAGCCAGGCAGTGCCGGCTGGCGACCCCGAGGGGGAGGGCCTTCTCTGTGGGAGCTCCCACCCTCTGGAATGAACTGCCCCCAGAGATCAGGGTTATCCCTGATCTCCCTTCCTTTCGCCGCGCCCTCAAGACTTGGCTGTTCCAGCTTGCAGG